TGCTCAAAGTTCCAATTTATTAAGAGAGTCATGTTGGCACATAAGGGAGGAATGTTGGACAGTTAACCTTGGCGTGAAACTCCCTTCCTCTACATGCGCAATGAGATGATCAGGACAGCATCTAGAATATTCCTCCAGCACATAATGATTCCCCTCCCAAATACCATGCCCCCCCCTCCCCGTTTCAATTCAGCAGCAAGGCAGAGGCTGACAGGAAGTGTCCCTTCTCTGTCGCAGTGGATCCATGCTCCCCCAGACTGCCATCCTGATGATCTTCCAGAAGTTCTTTTAAAACTTGGTTGCTCTGCTAGGTCTTGGGATACAGTGCTTGCAGAGGCCTGTTGGTTCTGTTTTATGATATATAGATTGTGGTTTGTCTAGATACATATAATCATTCTTTAGTTTTCTTTGTTTTCTATCTTTTTAAGTATAAGATGTCCCAAGTCATTCTAGGAGCAAGTGGCCTCTAAATTTAATAAACAAGGTTTATTATTTATAAGGTTGTTTTTTTGTTAGCCAAACCCATTCTGATCACCTATTGCCACTATTGCTATGATCACTTATTAAACATAAGTACATGTTTTGTGACTGGAAACGCTCACAACGGCAACCATTTTAGGGAAGTGCCTATAACATGGTTTCAAAATTATGTGCCTATCATCCCAAACTGTTACAAAGAAACATGAATTAATATACTATAATTTGTTAATATTTTTAAATATATGTTTTAACTACTGTAACTTTTAATGCATGGAAACAATGCACAATACCAGTTATTTGTATATCTATCTTTGGCTGGGGTCATATTGCATTATTGACTTACCTTGCCTCTGCACACAGAACGGACACAATCAATTACTTGTCCTGTCTCTAATCTAAAGGCTCGACATCTTCTAAGTTCCTGGTCCCATAGCTTAATTGCACCTCCTTCTTTTGATCTAGCCAAAATAAGAAATAGTCTTTTCAGAGAAAGTAGATGAAAGTCCCTAAGACCAAGTACTGTTCGTTAACTTAAATAATTCAACAGAAATCCAGTATTTAAAAAAATGATAATACCTCAGTTTGTGTTCTTCAAAAGTTATCATGGTATTTAAAACAATTTTGTAATACCAAAATGATTTTTGCATAGCTGATAAGTGATATCTAGGAGTTTGCATTTAATGATCTCAGGATATCAGAACTAAGATTACTGTATTAGTAGCTGAGAATAAGATGATTTCCTTCACTTGGTATAAAGACTCCCTAAACTTTTAATGCAACCTAGAATGGTGTTTGTCAACCTTGGCAGTTTGAAGATATGTAAATTCCAACTCCCAGAATTTTGGAAGTTGAAGTCCACACATCTTCAAGCTACCAATTGTGTGTCTTTAAGCACACAATTGATTATTTCCTTTGCAAGATAAATTACTATAGTCTATAATTTGTAAAGTACTTAACTCCATTAGACACACAGGAAAATAGAAAAAGAGATGTAACATTATTTCTGAAAATCACATGGCAATTACTAGATGTTTGTTTTACTCGACTAGAAGATTACAACTAGTCATACAGAACCACTAAGGAAGTGTAATCAGCAGCTCCAAATACATCCTTTCTTTGGGTGGAAAAGAAAAACCAAAATCTATCTCTTTGATGTACTTATAATATGTATCACTTTTCCTGTGAAAGTAACCAGAGAGAACAGCCACGACTGTCTCCACTGCTTGCTCCACTACTCATAACCCATATCAGTCAATGTACACCATGTAGATACATTATCCACTGTAAACATTTTACAAGTACTATTACTATTACAACTGCAATAGAATTTACTATAATACAATTGTGTATCCATTAATAATTTTTTAAATTACTAAATTTGTAAAAATTACTACAATTTGTGAAATTACTACCATAGGTACCCAATGATAATTTCGGTGGGCAACAAATTTAATAAAACAAAAAATATATGTTCATATAAGAAAACAAGACTCACGGCCTCTCTTTGCCTCCAGTTACAATTAAGCCATCACGTAATGTCGTATACATTGCAAATATAGGACCATTATGAGCTTTGCCCACAATTCGATTCAATATGTGGTCCTTCCAAACACACACATCTCCACTGATGGTACCTGTAAATGTCAAATTATTCTGAAAAGGGGGAAAAATATGTCCATCATCTGATTTCAAAAAGGAATGAATGCAAGCATTTACTATGAAAGGACAATTTCTACATAGTGCCCAATCCACAACCCCAACTGACTTTAGTTCTGGGTTTGGGGAAAAAAAACTTTAGTCATTTTGCAAATGATGACAAGTGCACAAATCCATTGGTTCTTCACTGCTTATTGGATTTTAATAGCACTGATCACAATTATCCTTCAGTAACTGATCTGAGCTACATTTTTGCTTACAGGGGTTCCTAAGCACTATTATAATTTCTTAAGTATTTTTTATTTTATTATTCCATAGCCTTGGAATTGGTTAAAAGAAGCTTTGGGACCTATGTAAGAAAAATAGCAATACTCTGCTTTTTGAAATGTTACACAATAAGCTTTTCCCCACAAATGACACATACTGTGTTCATAGCATCATTCAGTCATTGCTCAAGTAATATACAGCCTCCCTTAGTCTTCTTTGGATTGGACGAGTGGGAAAATATAGTAAGCAACAATTACAAAAAGTGGTTTCAAAGTTGATTTATATATTAAAATATTCTTTTAAATTACGTACAGCTCCAAATGCCACAGAGAGCATGGTTTGCATTCGTGCATCTTCTATTGAACTTGTCTGTCCTTTTTTACTAAGAAGGGCTCTTCCAGCAAGGGTCCAAAATCTCACATGTTTTACTCCTACTGAAACAAACTGAGTGTCGGAATCAGGCCTGAATTCTGCTACAAAAATACGTTGGTTATGACCGGCTCTACTGGCAATTTTGGCACCTATTGGGAAGAGTTAATTATACTTTACATTCAGATATACATATCAAGAAATAGTGAAAACAAATAGTGTCTTAAACAATATTCTTTCAGGTATAGTAGTAGGATCGTTGTGTTCTATGATTACATTACATATTTGATCATTTTTTAAATTGATGCTGATAATAACAACATTATTGCTAATAGTAACATTTTTATTTTTATCTTTGTTAATAAAAATTGTTACTCACTTATGAAATTTTAGTATTTACAACTTTAAAAACAAGCAGGACATTATACATATGCAATTCTAAATTTATTACATCTCATCTTGCTATGAACAATATAGCAACTCTGCTATTAACCCTTTTATTATTTCCCGTTCTATAAGGAGTATCATACTCTTTTAGTAACTGTATCAGTTTGAAGAGGGATCTGTGATGATGTATATCCCCCATTATGTTGCTCATGTAAGTAGTCTAAGTACTCCTATCTAAATGCAGGTCAATATGAGAGATATTGGCACCAACTAGTGATTAACTGCTGCTAATAAGTGTAATCCAGGACCTAAAGCTTCTTTCTGTACAAGTAAGTTCTGCAAAATATGACTGAAATCATGCATGATGCACATTTAATACCCATTGTACAGGCAGAATATATCAGATGATATTTAAATTGCAAAGATAGTAAATTATTTCACATGCTTTAGCCTTCTGCTTCTAGAACAGAGCACTAGGCCTGGGACACCTAAGAGGTAGTTATTTAATAGTTACTGTAGTTTTTCAAGTTGCCCTCTAACCAAACTATCAGTAAAGAACATCATAAGAGCAGAAGGATAAAATTGAGAAATTGGAAGTTCTAGGGAAAAGACCAGGCAACACTGGTATTCTTGATTTTAAGACAAATTAAAGCTGCGTGTAGCTGATGTAAAAACGTCAAATGCAAAGTTCTTCTTTTAAGAAATAAAAGTCAAATGCTCAGGTTAAAAGTACTTGTGTAAAAATGATCTTGCAATAGTAGTTGACTGCAGATTGAGTATGAGCCACCAATGTAATGTTGTGGCAAAAAAGACAAATGTAATAATTTTAGGCTGCATCAAGACAACTTCCAAACCAGGAACACATTTGTAAATACTGTGTTGACAAAATATTGCAAGTTCTCAATATTTTGCTGTGATTATACCATAGGTTTGGATCGCTATAATATTCATTTGTTTGACTTGAGATAATTGAGTTGAGATAATTCTATCATTTTTCATGAACACTTTGGCACAATTAGTAACAATGACCACTCCATTTCTTCTGTTTTCTTTCTTTCTATTCTTTCTCAGTAAATTTGATGTTGCTTTGATGAAAAAGTGACCCATTCCAATGCATTTCAGTTCACAGATTTCCAGAATGTCAATGTCTTGACTTTCTGCTTTGACAACATCAAGTTGGCCTTAGTTCATGGTTCTGATGTTCCACATATCAACAGTATATGTTTATATTCAGTACTGAACTTTTGCCTCTGGGCATATCAACACCGGATGTCTAGCTTTATTCAGCCACATCAAAATCACCAGTGCTTCTTGTACTTGCCTCTGCTCTTCCCAAGTACTTCACTGGTTATCTTCTGACATGAGTTGGAGGTGGGCAGAAGGAGAGATATCATCTTCCAAAATCACACTGATGCCCTGGTTGATATTGCGATTGGATTTTCTTGTCAGAATACTGAAATGATTTATCACTTCTTTCTCCAATAGATTCTGTTTAATCTATCTACAATCTATCTGCCTGTCAGATTGACCTTTGTCACATTCGGAAAGATATAAAATCATGGAGATATTCAAGCTCCTTCACTGTTACCAGGTAATGAACCATGAAGGAGAAACCTTTACCACTTGGTGTCAAACACAGAGTTGGCTTACTTAAAATAATTTATCAGTAAGATTTTAAGAGATTTTGTCCAGGGTGCCATGTCTCACACCTTTTTAAGAAAGATGGGTATCTGAATGCAATCTCTGATTACAGTTCCTGATCAATGAACCATTAGAGATCATCAGCCTTTCTCACTCATTGACCTCTCAAAAAAACATCAAAAGGCATGGATTTTTATCAAGTTGGTTTTTACGGAATCTTATCATTTGATTTGCAAGAAAAGCATACAGGTACTTTACAATTAACTGCCTGTAATTTTTGATATGGGAATTTTAAAAGTGTGATAATTCAGTTCAAACTGACAAAAAATCTCTCTCGGTTTTCATGAAACTTTTAAATCATATTTCTCATGAATTTTTGCATGGCTTTTTAAGAAGTTGGACAATCTGTCATTTATTCTAAGGACTGTGTTCTCTCCAGAGTGAATAAAGTGCAGGTAGTTTTTCAATCCCTTTGTAAATATAACATCTGCCTAAGCCAGACAATGTATATGATCTTCCGCAAAAGGATAATGCCTCTTTTGGCATTATCAAGTAAATTCAGCCTTTCGGATAGTTTGCCCATTTTTATTTTAGGTTATTCCTGATTTTGCTACACTAAGAACACTACTGGTTTATGTTCTTAAGAAAATGATTCCTTTCAACTAGGATTTTAACATAAGTTTTTTTTTTCTGCTTAAACAGACATTTACTTCTCTGGGTATCCCTTCATCCTACAAACTCCACCTCCTGCTTTACTGTACAGACCAGTGGTGGGTTCCAGCAGAGACTACTGCTGGTTTGCTCAGGGGTGCACCATGCACGCACACTTTGCGTGCACGCACAGTACAACTAAAATTGTTCTGTGCACGTGCTGAAGCAAAAAACAAGAGTGGGAGAACTGGTTCGAGGGCGTGGCAGGCCTGGGTTGCTGTTGGTTCCAGCGACCCAGGCCGCCAAGCTATTACCAGTTCGGCTGAACCAATCTGAACCAGTAGGAACCCACCACCGATATATGCACAAGAGACAAATTCATTGTATGTCTAATCAACTTGGCCAATAAAGAATTATAATTCTAATTGTAACAGATTCATTGCTATGTAAATTATGAGTGAGGATTTCAGAAAAATTTCTTTAATCCTAGTTTGAAGTAAATACAGACTCTTGAAAACTCTCATAGGAATTTCCTAGTTTCAGATAGAGTGAATATTTGCCTACCTTCTTGCCATTTCCAAATGGTAATGGTATGTTCAGGATCCAAACCAACAGACAGAAGAAGCTTGCCAGTGGCACTAAATCCAACTGAACAAACTCCTTTTGAATGGTAACATCGCAGTATAGACAATGTCTTTTTGTTCATTGCATCCCACACATGAATACAAGGAGCTGTTGCTGAACAAATATAAGAACAGCAATAATTAATTTTGTTATAGAAAGCTTATAGGATATTTAATATTAAAAGCATTCCGATTTGCTTTAAAGCATCATTTAATTTTTTAACATTTACATTTGTTCTTTTAAAAAGTTACATTTAGTAAGTATAAACTCATTCCTACTAAGATTTCTCTTGCAATTCTAAACTTGTTTTAGATCTGAAGGAAAGAATGCCTTAAAACACATATAGGAACAAATGCTTTAATCAAAAGTACTTTATGACAAATGCCAAGTCATGAGTTTAAATTTAGTTTTTAGAAATGTTTCCATTTTAGTTGTGGGCCATAATGCCCTTAAATGGGGACTACATGGCCCTGGATAGGAAGGTAAAGAAACTGTAAAAAGCAAACTGTCTTTTTAACAACTTGCCAGCTGACTGTTACTGCATGGGGAAAACAGGATCCTGGAAACAAATAACTGCCTGTGAAGATGGTGCTGCCAAGAAGGGTTTGTATTTCTCAGTCATGGACTGCTCTACCCACACAAAGGAATCTTGGCAAGAGATGGATCGCATCTCCCACACACACTGGGAAGGATGTGCTTGGCAGGTGCCTTGTGAATCTGCTATTAATCATGTAATCATTCCAAGACAACTATCACCTACACTTTTCTCCTCTTTTACAAAAGAGGCAAACATTTATGAACGAGAAGCACATTCTTCTGCCCTGATTTGCCTAGATACAGGTTTTTCACTTGAAAGCAGAGTGCTGCTAGAAATGATATGTTACTTTAATGTCTCTTAATAACTTTTATTAATCAGAACTCAAAGACTTGTTCTGGTCTAACCCAGCTTGCTCCCAGAAGCCTGACAAGAAGGACAAATATGTTGTCACAGGTGCCACTACAATCAAATAGGATGACATACGTATTTGGAACATAGACTTGAAAAGCTACAATTTATTGAGAAGGAATAGGCTCAACAGAAATGTAGTTCAGAAATGGTTTATTACTAACAATAACATTATCATTACAAAGAATGAATATTTTATTTCAATCAAGGGAAATTTTGAACATTTAAAAATTGTTAAATTTTATGTTTTGAATGAAAAAACTACTAATATGTTTTCATACCATGTAAATATAATCAGTTATTTACAACACACTAAATAACAGAAAATGCTTAGTTATAATTGAAGATATTAAAATTTAGCTTTTTTCTTACTTGACATGTCTGCTGAGTCTCCTGTAATGGAAAACCAGTAGAAAAATCATTACAAACAAAAAAGATGATAATTTATATATGTGTGGCATAAAGTGTATAATTTCAATTTATTCTCAAAAATAAATCTAAACTTAAGCTATCTCTATGCAATTAGATGCTGTTCCCAAGCACAAGATAAACTGTTCGGAGCAAAAACAGAGACTTTTCTTTACATCAATCTTGTAGATTATTCACATCTAAATTACCGTATATGGAATTTTCACTTTGCAGAGAAATGTTATTTGGCTAAAGACAGATCACGTTCTTGTTCTTTCTGAAGCAATCCACAGAAGTGCAGAAAATGTATTATCTTAGCTACTTTCAGAGAGTTCAGAGTTTTGCAGTTATGCCAAACAGTGAAACACGGTATTATGTGAGTGAAAAACTGCCTTTGTACTAAAATTTCTCTCTTTCTAATTCCATGCAATACTACAAGTGTTCCCAAACTATAGTTTCCTCAAAATTAGGACTGTGCATAATGTGTTTATCCAACCTGACTGAAGATAGATTTTAATTATGGGAGATAGGATTATTTACAATAATTGCTTTTCAATTATTTCATCTTTTTAAAGTTTTATTTGGGAAAATTCTTTCTCTTCCTCATGTAGCCTAAGATGAGACAATTCCAAGCAAGTTTCTTTAATTATCTTCAGGGAATCACATTAGAATGAAAGAATAAAGATCAGTAAAATGATATTTTATTTAACAAACTAATTAGAAAAGGGTGATAGTTATTCTCCAAAGTTCAGTAAACTGAAGAAGATTCCATTGTAGCAAAACAAGTTATGCCCTTTGTGTCATTTAGGTTATGATAATAATACATTATGTAAATTACTTTAAATAATAGAATATATGTAATTTGCATAGTGATCCAATATATAACTTTTGTGTTATCATGATTGTGATGTATCACAACCATGACTACATTGTGTTGTTTGTATCTGGACATCATTCACAAATGATCATAGCAGAATTTTGTGCATTTTGTGTAAAATCCATGTACTGACATTTGAGATCTACTTTTTCAACCTTCACAAGACAGAGCATGTGGTTATATGTAATTTGTTTATCTTCAAGCTATAGAATCTTCTCTTCATCCAATATTCTTCAAAATATTTTCTTCATTTCATAGCTATGTTTATTTTATTATTTAAAATACTGTAGTTTGCATATAGCAGGCTTTATAGTGTTATGCAAAATAAAAATGAATGCTGGGATGAAAATATAATTGGAATTGTAAAAACAGGAATAGATTTATGAATAATTTTTAACGATACAAGAATAAATTTAATTGACTCCAATAATTAACCAATCAGAAGCAATGTAACTAAATGCTTTTTCCTCTTTATGAATTCATCTGGCTCCCTGCCCAATTACAGTATATATTGTTTTTTTCTTAAAAAATTGAAACATACCTACTTGGCCAGTTGCCACAAGGTTGACAAATTTGGGATGCTGATTTATAGTGAGGCACAAAATGTCATCATTATGTTCCTGATAAAAAGACTGAGAACCTAAAGAGAAAAATGTATATGTATTATTTCAAGCACAGTATTACATCTGGAGGGAAAAAACATTATCATTACAGAAGGCAACATGAATACTGTTTCATACTATTTTCTTTTATAGATACGTAGTTTTCCTACCTGTTGCCACATTATATAGAATCCCAACTGATGCTGTATGATAAATTATGTCAGCACCATCATTCAAATAGTGCACATTGTTTCTGCCATCTCTACCGCGGTATCCAAATACCAGTTCGAGCACTAAATCCTAAGAAAACATATTTAGAATCACTGGATTCTTATATAAAAAGGTTTTAAACATTTGTATTAAACAACTTTTAATAGTTCCACCAAAACACTGAGAAAAATATACATTACCACATTACACTACCACGTACATAGTTGACAACAAACAGGATTTATGTCTTCTAAACCTCCTACTTCACTCTGTTCTTCAATTTTAACCCCGAAGAACTAGCCGATTTAATTATTGGAAGTTTTAAATAGATACGGAATAAAATATCACATCATATGTTATAATTTATTCCCTCTACTTCAGGGGTGTTACACTCAATTTCATTGAGGGCCACATCAGGGCTGTGGTTAACTTCAGGGGGCTGGGCAGGCGTGGCTGACTGGGTGGGCATGGCCAGCTGGGTGGGCATAATCAGCTTGATGCCACTCCCCAAACTGCTGGTCCGATGTTTCCTCTTCAGATTGGTAGACTGGGCTGAAGCGACATGGGTAGACTGAGCCGAAGTGACGCAGGCTGGCCCCTTACATTTTCCAGGATGACCTTGCGGGTCGGATTTGACCACATCATGGGCCAGATGTGGCCTGCGGGCCTTGAGTTTGACATCCCTGCTCTACTTGGTCAAATAGAGCTTCTACATTTATCTAATATTTTTAATGTGATAGTTCCCTATAGTTCTTGAAATTATAGCTTAAATAATATGTTTTTAAAACCAGCAGTTTTTCTTACCTCTATAGGTCTCTTCTTTTTCCCAACATTATTTGTTTGGAGTTTTTCAGGCTGAGGCAGTGCCCTACTAACTGGTGGTCTGAAACAAAGAACTGAGAATAAGAAAAATTGTCTGTCACCTATTCAGTATAAAACAATATCTTTTGAACTGTCACCTGGACAATGAAAAATGTTAGCCTACCTGGATAATATATTAGAAATTGGTTTTATATAAAAGTTTATTTAATTATGAATACATTATTAATTTTGTTAATTGCCTTCCACATTTAAAAAACTGTATAAACTAATGAAATAAAAATTAAGTATATTTCATCATCACATGGACAGTATTAATTCATTCTTGAGATAAAGAAACTAAGTTAATATAGATCTCTTTTCTTTGCTTATTAATGTGTTTATTAGCCATAAAAAATTAAACTTTCTTGGCAGAATTAGCCTTCTCACTTTCCATATCTTCTATTTATTCATTTCCTAAACTTGTCTTTATTCTGCTCATATGTAGATAATGTATTCATAACTCTTATTTGAGTGACTAGAGATGAATACTATTCCAGGGGTAGCAAAAATTATAGTAGTATTTTGTAGCATACCATACTCAACAACAAGAATCATATAATTTTAAAATATCTCAAGATATTCCTATTAGTAGCCAAAACAATATACATTGGCAAATACCATAGGTAGTGCAAATTAGATAAAGTGAAAAATTCTTTAGTCTTTATTATTCTGAGAATAATGGCAAGAATAAAATAGGATTGGCTGCTCACTATCAGGGTTAAAAGTGTAGACAATGAGTGAAAAAAAATGAGGTCCCAAATGCCATCACAAGATGTACAATGATGGAACAAATATCTCACAGACTTCTCTGATCCCTCTGTATGTTATTTCACAATGACATGACACAAGCAGCAAAAGGATATAGTGAAGAGGAAGAAAGCATGATAGCAATAGCACTTAGACTTATATACCACTTCACGGTGTATACAGTCCTTTTGTAAGCGTTTTTCACAGAGTCAGCATATTGCCCCCAACAATATGGGTCCCCATTTTACTGAACTCGGAAGGGTGGAAGGCTGAGGCAACCTTGAGCCTGGTGAGATTCGAATTGCCAAATTGCAGGCAACTAGCAGTCAGCAGAAGTAGCCTGCAGTATGCATTCTAATCACTGTGCCACCACGACTCAGAAACCAAGTAAGAATATAGCAGTTCAAAATCTGAATTTGTTAAAGATGCTTAATTAAAATATACAACAAATTAGTCAACTGAATGAATCTAGAGCACTTAGCAACAGACTAGGTTTACAACTGATCATTCTATAATACCTTATACTTTATGCCCTTATACTTCAACTTTTGGCTGAAATGTACACAACTAGAACATTATTATATGTTGCATTTATTGATTTTAGATCTGCATTCTATCTATTTCACAAAGCAGAATGATGGACTAAGATTATAAACCACTTTATAGGTAAACAGCTACTGGACAATATCTTTAAGAACCATAAAATGAAAGTCTTTGCAAAGGCACCATATGAATGAGATTCCAACTTGCTATTTAATCTGTACAGGTGAAACTCCAAAAATTAGAATATCGTGCAAAAGTTCAATTATTTCAGTAATGCAACTTAAAAGTAATGCAACTTGAAACTAATATATGAGATAGATACATGCAAAGCAAGATAGCTCAAGCCGTGATTTGTCATAATTGTGATGATTATGGCTTACAGCTCATGAAAACCAAATCCACAATCTCAGAAAATTAGAATATTGTGAAAAGATGCAATATTGTAGTCTCAAAGTATCCCACTCTAATCAGCTAATTAAGCCATAACACCTGCAAAGGGTTCCTGAGCCTTTAAATGGTCTCTCAGTCTGGTTCAGTAGGAATCACAATCATGGGAAAGACTGCTGACCTGACAGTTGTGCAGAAAACCATCATTGACACCCTCCATAAGGAGGGAAAGCCTCAAAAGGTAATTGCAAAAGAAGTTGGATGTTCCCAAAGTGCTGTATCAAAGCACATTAATAGAAAGTCATGTGGAAGGGAAAAGTGTGGAAGAAAAAGGTGCTGAGCAGCAGGAGAGGACTGTCAGGAAAAGGCCATTCAAAAGTGTTGGGGACTTTCACAAGGCATGGACTGAGGCTGGAGTCAGTGCATCAAGAGCCACCACACACAGACGGATCCTGGACATGGGCTTCAAATGTTGTATTCCTCTTGTCAAGCTGCTCCTGAACAACAGACAATGTCAGTAGCGTCTTACCTGGGCTAAAGAAAAACAGATCTGGTCTGTTGCTCAATGGTCCAAAGTCCTCTTTTCTGATGAGAGCAACTTTTGCATCTCATTTGGAAACCAAGGACCCAGAGTATGGAGGAAGAATGAGAGACACACACTGCAAGATGCTTGAAGTCCAGTGTGAAGTTTCCACAATCTGTGTTGATTTGGGGAGCCATATCATTTGCTGGTGTTGGTCCACTGTGCTTCATTAAGTCCAGGGTCAACGGAGCCATCTACCAGGAGATTTTGGAGACTTCATGCTTCCTTCCGCAGATGAGCTTTATGGGGATACTGAGTTCATTTTCCAGCAGGACTTGGCACCTGCCCACACTGTCAAAAGCACCAAAACCTGGTTCAATGACTGTGGGATTACTGTGCTTGATGGCCTGCAAACTCGCCTGACCTGAACCCCATAGAGAATCTATGGGGCATTGCCAAGAGAAAGATGAGAGACATGAGACCAAACAATTAAAAAAAACTGAAGGCTGCTATTGAAGCATCCTGGTCTTCCATAACACCTCAGCAGTGCCACAGGCTGATAGTTTCCATGCCACGCTACATTGAGGCAGTAATTGCTGCAAAAGGGGCCCACACCAAGTACTGAGTACATATGCATACTTATACTTTTCAGAGGTCCGATATTGTTCTATGTACAATCCTTGTTTTATTGATTGCATGTAATATTCTAATTTTCTGAGATTGTGGATTTGGTTTTCATGAGCTGTAAGCCATAATCATCACAATTATGACAAATCACGACTTGAACTATCTTGCTTTGCATTGAATGAATCTATCTCATATATTAGTTTCACCTTTTAAGTTGCATTACTAAAATAAATGAACTTTTGCACGATATTCTAATTTTTCGAATTTCACCATAAATCCATTTGTGGCCAAAATCAATCGATCAGAATTTTATTCCTCAAAACTAGCCTAATAGGTACACTGCAACCTTGTAGTAAACTTACAGAAGGAGCTTTAACTGCATTTAAATGAGCTTTGAGTGTCCTAGCCAATGTCTGCTATGAGGAAGCATTTGAAACCAGTTACATAAGATTTTGATTTTTGCAAAGAGACCTAAATTTCATGCCTAAATGTTAGATTGCCAGAATATTGAATAAGTGAAAGCCTTTAAATATCTGGAGTGAGAATGTTTTTCCATAGTTCGATCAAAATGCAAAATGCTCAAAAAGCAGCTATTGCAATTCAATTTCATTTTACCAGAGAAGTGCAGAATATCCCAGCACTGAAGCTATATTCAGAGAAGTGCAATTATTCTTCAGTGCCCAGCTGGGGTCTTATACATCCTATCTCCTCTTGAAAGGGTCTAATCTAAATTCCTAAAGGTAATTTCCAGTTAGCTCTTTATTTCTCAGTTAAGGAAACAGGTTAAAGTGAAATAGGTACATAGACTTGCATCATACCACACTGGCTTGCAAATACTATTCTGCCCCCCGCCCCAAGTTTGCATTCTTTCCTTATTGAGAAAAAGCTATGATTCAGTATAAACCAGGACAATTTCACAAAAATTCTAACTTCTTAATATTTCCAGAAGAGTCTTCTTAATGATAGGTTATAGGTGTGAACTATGCATTTAAGCAATGTGTTATTTAGATTAACAGATTAACAGCGTTGGAAGGGACCTTATAAGTCATCTAGTCCAACTCCCTACTCAAGAAAGACACCCAACACCATTTCTGACAAATGGCAGTCCAATTTCTTCTTGAAAATCTTTAAATGATGAAACTCCTACAACTTCCAAAGGCAAGCTGTTCCATTGGTTGATTGTTCTCGTCAGAAAGTTCCTCCTTATTTCTAAGTTGAATCTCTCCTTGGTAAATTTCCACCCATTATTCCTTGTCTGGCCTTCAAGTGCTTTGGAAAATAGCTTTTAGCTTTATACAGTTTTTATTTTTTATGATTGTAAGTCATCCAGAGTCATTCTGCATAAGATGGGTGGCCAATACATTTTACAAATGAAATAAATAAAGATCTAGAAGCCCAATAGCACTAGTCTGCTCAACGCAAAAAGTTTTTCTGAGCAGTTAAGTCCTCCCACTCCCATTTCAAATCAGCAAGATATAGACCTCATTTAACTGTTTCCAAATTTTGAAGAGCACCAATGCAACATTCTCCCTATAGGAGTATTGAAGGGCCAGCATACAAAAGTTTCTTATGAGCTAAGACTGTGCCCTGTAGATAGGAACTACTGAAATTATATCTTGCCCTTGTACCCTCTATAAGGATCCTTGTAACCTCTCTTATAATGCCTTATCCGTTAAAACACAGAAATCCTGCTTATTTTTATATACAACTGTTATTAGATCAATATTATTTAGTTTTCTTGAATGCAGCTAAAGTCTGTTAATACTGCCTGTAAAATTAGGCATACTTTGATTGTCTATTGGTGGATAAATCTACCACTAACTAAAAAGTCTTATCCTGTTTTTATTTTATTTTAATGTGTTTTATTTGCAATTCGTTCCAGCTCTATGACAATAATCCATCTATCTCTTATTTCCTAATTATGAGGTAGAGACAATCTGCAAAAGCGGTGGTTCTCTCCCCACATAGCCACATAAGAATCAGATTGCAAGAAGGTTCTGTCTTCTATCTATGAACAGAATAATTGCAAAATGTTCTTTATCAGAGATAGAAATATCATTAAATAATTTTAACAAGTCTATAGAGAAGCTGTTTCTTGCCTAATTTTTGATTTCGCTATTACCTTTTTTATCCCCTGCCAGAAGTTTCATTCATCTCTTAAAAATAAATGTGAAATAGGGACCTAAATTAACGAGTACCACATGTAACATTTCCAATAAAACCTATGTCAACTTGTCTTTGACAATTGACTGAATTTCACACATTAGTTTTATTTTATGTTTGTTCACATAATAGTAGTTACTTTATTAAGATTTACCTATGTATGCAACTAACACAGCATGATAAATGTTGGTAAGTGCAGGTATAAATAATGATACTACAGTGGCAGATGGCTTTGGAGGGTAATGGAAGATGATACAGAAATATGGAGTAGGTGGATGAAAGAGAAAGTATTACCTGGAACCCCTTTTCAGCAGCAGATAGGAAAAAGAATATGATTACTTATACTAATCTAGCTTGAAACTGATACATTAAAATGGGTGCTTTTGGAAAAATATCAGTATTTTTTTCTTCATAATAGGTAAGGTTTATATAGAATTCTTTCATCCCCTAAAGTCCACTAAAGATGTTATCTAGCCTGGTGATGAAACATTTAGAAACCAATCCACAAGGAAAATGAACCTTCACCCTCATCCTACACCCGAGCTATAGACATTCGCCATTATTGCAGAATTCTTTTAATTTTCTCTTCAGCACAATGCCTGAGTCTAAAAAATTTTTTTGAAGATGTATTACTACCAAGAGGCAAAAAGTTGAAGGAAAAAAATTGAATGTTTTTCAAGGAACTATTCCAGTGATGCTGGAAGTAGGGCTGCATATAAATTAAATATATATTTTATTCATATGATTTATTGGGATCCCCAATGATGAACAGTAAAGTTCAAGCAACTCTGAGTAGCATTTGGTCATTTATTGTCACTGAACACAGCAAGAAAAGTATCAGAAGAGGGGGGGGTGATATGTAGAGTTCTATGCCTCTTACCATTACTTAAAAATATTTAAAACCTCTGAACTGAACTGCAGTGTCAGCAAAACAGAGCCTTTATGTAGTCACCATGCCCTATATACAGAATTTCATGAAGTATAGCCAGCTTCCATTGGTAAATTCACCATGTTTTCCTCATCACTTCTTCAGTGTTTTTCTTTGCACAATATATTGGTATGAAAGAAAGTATGAACAGCGAAATAATCTCATTTGAGCAACAGTACTTGTAGTAATCCTTTTGGAAGCAACTCTACAGATGAAGATTTTGATGCACCTCTGTACAATATTGTAAAGGTTTACAATATGCCATCTTTTTCCACAATACTATCTAATACTTATATCATCCAAATTGTAATACACAAACTAGATTGTATAAACTTTAAATCCATTCCATCAACCTTCTCATAGGAATACTCTTGCTCAATATCATTTTCATTTCATTTGTTAAGCACTTTATTAAAATTTTCCTGCCAACCCAGAGACTAGTGTCATCCAACAATAAATTACATCAGGGGAGGGTAATTTAGAATCCACTCTGGATTCTAAAACTTGCATAATTTAGAAAGATTGCTTAATATAGATCTTTAATTATTGTAACAAAGATACAGTAGTTTGGGGTCTGATATAGCTTTGGTTTCTTGAAACAATCATTTGAAAACAAAAGATCTGCATCAGTAAGAGCACTAGAGTGAGGAATGAATCTGGCCAAACGCAAATAAGCCTATGGGTGGCAAAATGTTATTTCTCTACTCTTGTTATTATATCCACCAATATTCTCCCAATCGCCCTGTTTAGTGTGACTTGTTTCTTCCTGGTGGAGTGCAGGGTTCACAGAGTTGCTTGCAGAATATTTTAGCTACTAGATGGATAAAACTATTCAGATGTTTTCAAAGTTTCAAGTTGCAAGTCCAACTAAGGTGTTTGATGTCTTTTACCTGGGCTGTTTTTAAGTCTGTCACTTATGATATAGACAGGATCCTTAAAAAATGAGCTCAGCAACCTATTCAGGTTGTTCTATGTTGTTAAAGCAGCCTGGGTGGTCCATGCAATTACAGCTTCCTTTATGGAAAGGCTGGTTCCTCCATCTTTAAATCAACCAGTGATGTAACTTCTCCTCAAGAAGTCAGCCCTTGACCCAACAATTCTGGATAATTTTCATCCAGTCTCCAAGACATTTGCCCTCTGGAACATTATCAGCCTAGGTGTTATATGGGTCCCACCCTGATGATGTTCAAAACATTACTGAAAATTTGGCTGTTCCCCAAGGATTTGGATTAGGGTAGTGCTGAGCCTCTGTCAAATTTTATCTGATAGAGTGTTTTTTTCCAGATGCTTACATTTGTATTGTTTTTCTGCTTTTAATCCTATATACTGTTGGGAAGCCTCAGAATTGCATGCTTGTATGTATGTATGTATGTATGTATGATGTATTGAAGAAGAAACCTTCTCCAATATGAAATGTAAGTGCCACTGAATTCAATGCTTATTCCCATTTCCAGCAAATGCTCAATACTAAACACATTTATTAGCTGACAGTCTTCAAGTCTTAGAACCTCCTTATTAGTACAATAGAAAGAAAACTCCCAGTCGCCTACTAATGTCAGGCAGATAATGTAAGGAGTGAGTATGTATGTATAAATAAATAAATATTTTCTATAAAAATAGAATTTATATTTGCTTTATTTGCTGTTTGTTTGTTTGTTTGTTTGTTTATGTGGAAACTATTAGGAGAAGCTGTTTGATCACAGCAGCTTTCTTACCCTTTGTAATAATATGTAATAAATATTCATAATCAAAGAGGAAGATAATTAAAACCCCACCTTCTTGTACTCCCCTCACAGACAATTGTATCAGGTGTATTTTTTAAAGAAGTTTAAGAAGTAAAAATATGAAAGGCAGTAATTTATTCAACATAACATCTGGTTTTTCCCCAAAACAAGTTTCTTTCCCAACTCTCCCTGGTAATATTCCACATACTATTCAATGGGCAACCTGAGGAGTATGAGGAACAACTCTTAATTTATAGAACAGTTGAGCTATAAGAAAACACCAACAAATAGATTGTGCAAACCTTTTTCTTTGTCCCTTCTTAAAAATAAAAATAAATCTCAGTGCTTCTCAAAGCGCTGGGGCAACATATCCCCTTAAAGGGTTGGTCTACTTTCTCACATTATATGGATGGATAGAAGACAGTAAAGATTCAAGTAAAGCAAAGTTGCCCAATCCTTATAACATATAGGTAGATAGGTGTATGTAGCTAGGATCTAACAGAATAATCATCCAGCCTCAGTACAACTCCTTTTGGATTTTCCAAGACAGTGATTTCCTGATGGCAGAAACAGCTATTCTGGAAGGTTGGCAAAAATATCTTGTATAAAATTTCCCCTAAGATTATCATACTCCCACTCTCAGAGGGAAGAAGCTCATATATCCAATAGGCTCTGACACACACATCAGATGTTGCCCTAGCAATCGTAGGAATACTTTGCCGGAGATGGAAACACAGTAATCTCACATTCAAATTGTTTTGTAAGCACAAAGGAAACCATATCGTTCCAACACAGTGTTCCCTAGAATCCACTTGACAAATAAGATCATTTCCCTAAGTTCAAATCTACTTTTTTCTAATGAGATTTGACTTAATAACATGATTTATAATGATTTTATAAAGAGTAACTCACCTTACAACTCCTTGCCTTCATAGCAAGCATAAAAAATGAATAGGAAAATTAAATTACAAAAAACGCACAGTATAAATGTACTGAAAAGAGAACTGAAATTAATTAAGAGGATTATTATTGTTTCATTCCCTAATTTTTAAAATGCATAATGATTTGTAGAGGATATATTTAATGACATATTAATATAACTTTCATACTGCATTTTTAGTAAGCCTGTGACTGGACAGATTCCCAAGGTAAATTTTGAACAAAGATATTGATACTAAGTACAAAATGTACATGTAAAGCATAATGGACAACAGGATGTACAATGTATTGTGAGCTTCTATAAACTACTTAGAAATAAATATTTTTACCAGTGCCACAGGAAAGTATTTAAATGTATTAGATCTTTTTTCATCAAGGCAGAGACTGGTCCCTGAGTACCAGTGTACTCAGGGACCAGTCCTCTGCAAATGTACCTCTGCAGTAATCTAGTTATTTTTGTTCTCTTTCAGCCTTATAAGAATGTCCTACAAATCTCAAATGTTTTGCTTCCAGCTGTGCTAGAAATGACACTTTCAAATATCTGCCTGAATAATGCATGAAGAAAGAATATATTATTAGGCTTGGCAGGAAAACTATTATCACAACATTCCCATCTTAAGGTTAGAGTTACGGTGGAGGTTTCTTGGGGCACTGGTTATCTTATTTAATGATGCCACACAGGACTTTAAAGCTAAGGTTCATGGTTAAAACCCAGAGATGCATTCAGATGAATTTGCAGGAGAACTGCAAATATGAAATAGAACAGGATTCAGTTACCAGATTTTGAAGTATGTAATACAAATTATTTCTGAAGAAATGGAGATCCATTAGGCCATTAACTAAACCAGTGATCCTAAGTTCAAGCATTTTATTACTAATTATTGTTTCATGTGTCAACATGTAATAAAATTAACTTTTTAATCCATATGCATGTTAGTTGCCCAGAGTTGCTATGGCAAGTTAGTAGCCATATAGTACATAATTTTTTGTTTTGTTTTGCACAGTTAGAAGTACCTTTCATCAGCTGAAGGCTCTTTTTGCTGTAGATGAGGCTTGATTCCAAACATAGGTCTTATGTTGGTTGATAAGGCTTTAATGGTGTAATTAATTTCATTTTCCCTTGTGACATCACTATCATATCCTAATAAAATAATCACAATATTAGTAATATTGGAGCTAAAAATAGGCTAGATATAATTTATTTATATAAGAATTCTTTTCCAGACTAAAGACAAATCAATAGTTTGATTCTAATATAGTCTTTCAAACAGGAAGAACCTTTCTTTTCCTAAAAGACCCACTTCACTTTGCAATAATATTACAACTATTTATTTTATGCCACAGGTGTCAAACTTGCCACATCACATTGGCATCATGTGTTGTATCGTGACATTTCTTGATGTATCGTAACAGTTTATCCTTCATGGAGCTGGGGTGTGCGTGGCCTGTGTGTGACACATCTGGCCCGTGGACCACCAGTTTCACACTCCTGCTTTATGCTATTTAAACAAGTATTCACAATGCTAAATAAGTAAATATTCTAGGTCCAAACAAAAAAAAACACTCTCTAAAATATTTAATACATGAGTGTTCAACCTTTTTGCTTGCTTTTGAATGAAGAATTACCTTGGGCATATAAAATATACATATAAAATGTATAGTATAATGTACATAAATCACATAATAATATTAAAACTTTACGAACTTGTGGGGCTGCATTACTAGCTATCCAGGGCCACGGGCAGCCTGTGGGTAGTGGGTTCAACAGATCTCATTTAGAGCGTACTCTCTTCCCCAGTATAAAAAAGTAAAGGTTTCCCTATCTGTTGTGTCGGATTCTAGGGCACAGTACACATCTCTGTTTCTTGGCCAAGGGAGCCAGCATTGTCCGAAGGCAATTTCCATGATCATGTGGCCACCATGACTATATCCCAAATGTGCAAGGAACGTTGTTACCTTCCCACCAAAGTAGTACCTACTTGTATTTGTATGCTTTCGAACTGTCAGGTATATGTTCTTATGATCTTATGGTTGGATTATACCTCTTCATGTATAATCGAACCATTAAAAAAAATAACCGATGATACCTAAATAGATGTTGCTATTCCATACTGCAGATTGTATAAAAATAAATAATTCTATTCTTTAAAATTGACATGGTTACTTACCCCCATCTTCCTCAGAATCCAGGTCAGATTCTTCGCTATCGCACTGCCTACTTTCTCGATGACCCTCCATCTCATGGGTCCATAGCATTAACGACATATCTCCTCCTCCAATACTGACTAATAAACTGTCATCGTGAGCCCAGCGGACATTTGTTACATGTGTACTATGAGCCACATACCGCTTAAATTTGCTGTACTTTCCCTAAATGCAAAATATATAAATGTTTACTTCACAATTAAATAAAAATAATTATCTAAAAACACATTAAAATGTCAGTGATTTTTGCTTTTGTTTTTTTCTTTTTGCTTTAACTACAGACTCATGTTAGGATTCTTACTAGAACAGATATAAAAGAAAGGAGATATTAGATTAAAACCCAAATTTGCAGGTCTCTAGCAAAGTAATTTTGAAATATGCGTATACTTTAGTTTTTGAACATTCTACTATACAATGCATAAGTGAATATTTACATTCAGATTTAACATAAAAACTCTTACTAATAATTAACACAGTTATGAAGCTTGATTGATAAGTTTATGAATATTTCAGAATTTGCATGAATCCCTCATTTAAAATTATTACAGGAAAAAAAGAAAGAAACATTACACATAGAAACATAATACGTACAATAGGCATGATTCAGCCTAATTTTTAAATAATTCATTAAACTGCCACCCACAGAAAATTAATTCCCACTGTGTTGACAGAAAGCCAATTCATAAATGCAAAAAAAGCATATATTTACAATCCACAATTGTGAGACTGGTATAATTTTTTCTTTCCAATGTTGAAAGCACTGCTCTTTCTCCCACATAATAAATCCATACTTCCGGTAATGAATACTGAACAGTGAAGATTGACATTTAGAGATAACTAAGGGTAATCTAATTCAAGGTATGGAAAAATAGAGAGGGAATATGAAATATACCTACAATGAGAAATTATTGTGATAAAAAGACAGAATCACAAATTGGGGGCGTGTAAGGATGTATAACTATATAAAGATAATAATGAGAATAGTAACCAGGTCTACATCTTGACTAAAATTAGGTTTTTTTGGGGTGGTGGTGTTTAAAAGCACAATAACTATTTACGTATGTATACTTTTCTGTTATATCCCTTTTTTTACTAAAAGAGAAGAAAAATTAAATATGTATATTGAAAAGGAACTATAAATACCATCAAACTAAAATGGAGCTTGCTCAGAAGCTAAAATACATCAAGTAAATGATATGAAGAATGGGAAGTAAAGGAGAAAGGTAAGGGAAGAAGAGAGGGATAGGAGAGAGGGCAAAGGGGGAGAAGAGGAGGAGAGCAATGAGGAGTGGTAAGAGGAAGGGAGGAGAAGGAGAGAGGAAGGGGAAGTTGAGAAGAGAAGGACAGAGAGAAGAAAGGAGGTAGGGAGGGGGAGACGAGAGAGAGAAGAAAGTGATGGATAAAGCACAAATATGGTGTATGGAGAGCAGAAGAGCCAATAATTTTGGGGAGTTGTTGATAAGATGAATTGATATGATGTTGGTTATGTAATAGTATACATGTAAATTATATGTATGAAAATGGAAAAATAAAAAACTTTAATCTGAAAAAAAATCCATACTTCCTATAATGAGTCTTGTAGCACCTTTAAAGACTAACAAATTTTATTTAAAGTTTTTTTGAACTAAGGCTTACTACATTAGATGCAGATATATGATTTAAATTGGGGGAGGTGTAGGGATGACAAGATGGTGATGCAAGCTTTATTTATTTATTTGATTTCTATAGCTGCCCATCTCAAGAAGTGACTCTGGGAAGTGTAGATCATAAAACATTAAAACAATATCAAATAAATATATATGAAGTAGAAAATTACCATGGATGTTAATAAAGTGAAGAAACAAGCTGTTCGCATACTTGTGGGGCCAGGTTACATAAGAGAAAGCTGACTATAAGAACTATAGTCATGCTGACAACTGCAGTATGTTTATTGAGACCAGAATTTTTAACTCATTAAAATCATTAATTGATAGAGTATTTATAATTTCTCTCATAAAAACAGGAAATAAATTCTCAAATAGTTTGTATATTTTACTTTCTAACTTGGCTAATGCATGCAGTTTCTAATATTTAGATAAAATGAACATTTGTATTATGAAATAGTCACTGGCTTGACAGAAGAAGTAAAATGAAAGTTATAACTAGGGGTTTATCCATACATTTATATTAATATATATATACTGTAGAGATAGATAGATAGATAGATAGATAGATAGATAGATAGATAGATAGATAGATAGATAGATAGATAGATAGATACTGTAGATCTAGATAACATAAATATAGTGGAATCCTCCTAATAAGTGTGTTGCTAAATGTAAAAACTATAGGATTGTCTTGTTTTATTATGCAGCTATTAATTTTACTTACTTTGGCAGGGAAGTGGAAAAGTTTTACAAATCCAAAATCATCTCCTGTTGCCAAGACTGTACTGTCACTGCTGAGGCACGAAGCACTTACATCTGTGACTTCTCCAATTATTGGCCATATTCCTTCACAGCATGTACCTAAAACACTTGTCCAGGATGCCCAGGAAATCTTTTCTACCTATAAAGATAGTAACCTGATCACAAAAATTACTCTGGTTTAGAAGCATTCTTGCGGGTCACTAACACTAAATATTCCTTCTTCTTTCCCCCATTATCATATATGACAAACACTTGTCTCTTTTATGGGCTGCTGCTTCTGTACTCCTTTCCTTTCTGGTGCCCATGTTTCCAGAGAAATAGGTAAGGACTGCTGTTTCTTTGAGGCTTAAAACCAGAAACCTGGTTTAGATTTTTATTTTTTTTTACTCCTTCTAGAGGAACATCTATTCTGAATTAATCCACATTTTCCAGGGATCGGGATTTGGTCAAATCTGATGCATATACTTAATTATTATCCAATATATTAGTTTAAACTGAATTTTAGTTTAAAATATCAAACTATTGCAAATGAGATCTTACCTTTACATGCCTGGCAGTTATTTTGATTATTAACATTATTTTAATTTTAACAAAAATATTTGAATATATCTTTCAGCTGTAATACTTAACAGAGGACCAATGCTTTATTAGTTTTAACTAAAAAGAAGAGTTTTAACTATTATTCTGACTGACTGAAGACTTATAGCTAACAAGTAAACATAATGAGTTCAGTTACAAAGTTATAATTATGATAATCTGTGCATAAAAGGTTCATTGCCACTGTGTCCAACAATGAAAACCTGTTGCTTATATGACTGTCTTGAATGACAGAAGGTAAACTGCAGAGGAAAGAAATCTGCAGTAGTTAGAGCACAATCCAGGGAATGCTTTCTTGGAAATAAGCTCTACTTGGTTAACCAGAGCTTACTTTTCTATAATGCACATAGGATTGCAGCTCAGTGATTTTAATATTCTTGTTATTCATTTGTAGGAAAATTTTGGGAAGGTCTTTTTTTTAATATGGAAATCATAAAGATTCCCTGGACATACCTTGGCTTCCTGTGTCTTGCTGGTGATTAGTGTAAATCATACTTGTAGCATTTGAACTGAATTCATAGCGATGAGTTTCCTAGTCTCCCTGAAAGGGCAACACAGCAATGCTCACTATGCTATTCTATACTGTTCTATTAAATTTCTTTAATTGCTTATTTGTAGCTTCTAATGGCTTGTTTCCATTGACTATTGTGCCATTTCAGCGATGCAAACCATAATATTAGTTAGGGATGTTAGCTTTGTGGTAGGAAATAATACTCATACTTTTTACAATCAAAGTTTGCTAATTAAGCATGGGAAAAAAGTTATTTAATGACAAAAAATTTCAGGATTTATACACTTAGAATAATCACACAGTAGATATGAATCAGTGCCCTAGAAAATAGACAGTCCTTTTTTGGAAAGTTATGAGACTATAGTTTGGATGTGTTCAAGAAATGGCCACCCAAAACCACCCATTTATTATACAGTATATAACTACATTTGTAAAGCCTTAGTAGCCTATAAGCTCACATAACTTTTTCTTTTCCAAGGGACTGAAGGATGTATTTCTAAACAAAAGATTGGGCTATATCCATTCACCATTTTTATTTCTTAAGAACAAAAAGGGAGCAGCGTAAAATCAGAGACATTCTTACAAATATAGTAGAAATTTATATTTAGCTTTTGATTAACAAAAAATAAGCATCTTTTTAAAAAATGCATGAAAGGTAGAACATCTGGAGGACATGAAGGACATCCAGAAGGACCACTGCTCCTCATAGTCACTATTTTGCCACAGTCTCAGTGGCATTTAAGACAGCTTCCATATTGCACATTATCAAAAACAAATTCAAGATGCAGTAAAACTTAACTAATATGATACATAAGGAATTTAAATTTTCTATAACTATATATTTTTAATATTAAAGGCTCCTGAAAAAATATATTACTCAAAAATCTTCAATTTTGTTGTATAAAATCCTTTCAGTGTGTTGCTTTCTTTATCATTTATCATTATTTATATGAAGACATTACCTAATGGATTTCATTTTTATAGAAAAATATAACCTGATTCCGCATAAGGTATGGCCTCTACATAAATTTTAAAAAAAGAAAGAAGCATCATGTTCTACTTTATTTTAATATGAGAAGTGCAATTCAAATCACAAAAGTTTGTGTAAGTACCCTGTTTTCCCCAAAATAAGACCTCCCTGGATAATAAGCCCAATTGGGCTTTTGAGTGCATGCGCTAAAATGAGCCCTCCCCTGAAAATAAGCCCTTCCCAAAAATATTGCAACACAGCAGCAGCCATGAGGTGACAACGCTCACTGCCTCCTCCACCTCAAAAATAATACCTCCCTGAAAATAAGGCCAAGCGCTTATTTCAGGGGTCAAAAGAAAATAAGACCCTATTTTATTTTTGGGGAAACATGGTATGATTAAAACTCCATTTTCTGCTAGATTATATAAAAAGGTCATTTTCCAATCTTTTTATCGGAAATTAGCCAATGATCATGTAAATGACAAAATAAAACATAACAAAAACAATGGGTATATTTTTACCTGTGCAGTAGAAATTATCTGCCTTTTCCCCCGTGGAGCTTCAAAAAATAGCTGTTCTTTAGCACCAGTGTTGACTTGTAGAAGCTTGCCTGAAAAAAACAAAACAAAAAGCACAGCTCACTGATTATCTTACTGAACATGTGATTGATCATAGAATGCTAAATTATGATACTTATTCAGGGCATTTGGGAGATATTTATCACTACTATTTGGAAATTATTTAGGAAACCTTCAGAATTATCAGAAACTTACCCTGTATAGCTTTACATTTTCTAAACTGTAGAACTGTAATCGGGGATAATTGCCTGGAATCAGGGTGAGTGGCAGACCCAGACTTCCTTCAACAGCTGTGACACCTGCAATTTCCCAGGCCATAGCAGTATTCAGCAGCATCGAGCAGACTGTATGAACACTGCTGCTGTTTTGTATCTGTCACACATTCACCAAGAACATTGGCAGCAGTGAAATCAGACGTCCATTTCACACACTTGACTCCAAAAGCCAATTAGGAGGAAAGCAGCTCCTTGACAAATCACAAAGGATGCCCACAGAGTAATCAGCAGTTCAGCATCTGGGCAAACCACCCAGGTCACCAGGATTCTATGTACTTTGTGGACTAAGGAGCACAGAAGAGAATTGTTTCAACTTCCCAGGGAATGGTCATTTTGCTCCAAACACAAATAGCTTCAAACATCTTTCAAGTCTATTTATTTGGCTAAATTCTCCAACTAAAATTGGCTCCCCAAGAAATATAAAGCCTCCGTGATAAAACTTCCCATCCTGAGGATTTCTCATCACACTGGAAAAATAGCAGGGGATGAAAGAGGAAGAAAGGCTTCATTGGCAAGCCTTATCACAGAATGTGTTTCAAAAAGTTAGTGTCAGTTTAATTTATTATCCTTAGTGTTCTTAGCATTTTTTAAAAGAAGATGGTAAACAATTGTATTTAAGTGGCTGCATCAATTACATCATTTGGCCTTGCCAGCCATTAGTAGCCATTTACCCCACTAGCAGCTACCAAGAATAATCATTTTACAGTAATTGTATTTCCTTACCTCTTATGTCCCAATCCATATGGGTTATATAACTGGAGGCTCCCTTGCAGATTCCAACTCTTTTACTGCTCATTACATTGTAGATATCTACAAAACTATCATATGAACCTACAGCTAGGTATTTTCCAGCACCTGCAATGCAATTATAAGGAGGTAAGTATTTTCATATCATTTTCAGTATTCTACCGGTAAGTGCCCTCAGCAGATGCCAACATTTGGATCACTTTATCTAGATTCAGATATCTATGGGGGTTCTCAGTCATTCGGATCATGGTTGTCCCAAAGGTGTTTTCCAAGAGGCAACTAGACTTTCTTTTCTTCTCAGAGCTGAAGAAGCTTCTTGGATGAGAAGCAAAATGTCTTTGGAGAAAAACAAGAAAGTCCAGTTACCTCTTGAAAAAACACCTTTGGGACAACCATGACCTGGATGACTGAGATGCTCCATAGACATTTAGCTATGCACTTTGGAATGAAACCCTTTGAATGATGTGGGAGTATGAACAGATTTCAGGAACCACTTGCACTTCAGTTTCAGATGCAGACAACACAGAGTCATCCCCAACAGCCTGCGCCTGTGTTCAACACAACTCCACAACACAGTCATTTCAGCAGTTCCAAGAAGGCTCTATACCCATATGCACTACTCAGGTGACTCTGAGGACACCCAAGTGGCCTCTCTAAAAGAATTCAAATGACCACCTGTCTGAAGGAATATAAATCCTTCCATTCCCATCATCACCTTACAATTAATGGTGACTGTATCAGTGCACGGATTAAGAACTGCAATGTTATTGAAACTCTCGTCATTCTAAGACATGTACACTGAAAATATGAAACAATTAGTACTGATAGAGGAGCAAATAAAATAGTCTATATGTTTACTTGCTACCATCGATTTTAACAAAATTCAAATAAAAGTATAATAGTCCATATCAGTGTAATACATCCTTTCTAATATTAACAGCACTATATGCATTTGTATCTTACTTGTGGCCATTGCAAACAATGCAACTTGTTTTTTTACATGTTCATTATCCAAGTGAACAGAAAATAGACCTGTATTGTTTCAATTTTATATTAATTTAGCTAAAACCTATGGCTGCAAATAAATGTATATAAAACTAACAAAGTAAGATTAAATGTGGTATAATTAATTAATCTTCAGTGGTTCTCTAAATTAGAAATAATATGCCATACAACCCACAGAATCAAAAATCTTTCCCCTTTGAGTTTTAAAATATTTAACAATATTTTTATTTTAATTATCAAATTTATATATTCACTATCTCACAAAATGGCTCTTATGTAATAAGTATTTCATGAAAAAAAGATGTCCTTTGTGTGGACTTCAGCTCTTGATGACTTCATGGACCTATCCCCGCAGGGTTTTCTTTTGCCTTCCCTTTTTCTATTAGCAACTAAAATATTTCGTTCTAAAATACAAATGTGACTCATTTAATGAAATTAACATAAATAGCAATAGCAATAGCATTTAGACTTATATAATGCTTTACAGTGCTTTACATTCCCCTCTAAGCAGTTTACAGTCAGCATATAGCCCCCAACAATTTGGGTCCTCATTTTACCGACCTCTGAAGGATGGAAAGTTGAGTCAACCTTGAGCCTGGTGAGATTCAAACTGCCAAATTGCAGGCAGTCAGAAGTAGCTTGCAGTACTCTAACCACTGCGACACCGTGACACATGGTGGATCATTTTATGTCATAACATCTCATTACCGTATTTTTCGGAGTATAAGACGCACCTTTTTCCCTCAAAAAAGAGGCTGAAAATCTGGGTGCGTCTTATACACTGAATACAGTATTTTTTGCGTCCAGAAGCCCTGCCCCTTCACCAAAATGGCTGTGCATACCCTTAGGGAGGCTATCAGAGAGTTCCTGGGGGCTGAAGAGGGCAAAAATGAGCAAAAAAGGCCTATTTTTTGCTCAATTTTAACCCCCCAGCCCCCAGGAGCACTCTATAAGTTTCCTAAAGGCTATCAATGCCCCCCTTTTTAACAAAAAATGGACCCATTTTCACAAAAGAACAGGCTGTTTTTTGCTCATTTTTGCCCCACCCCCACCCCCAGGAGCACTCTGCAAGCTCCCTAAAGGCTATTCATGCCTTTTTGGTGGGAAAAATGGGCCCATTTTCGTGAAAAACAGGTCGTTTTTGGGAGGTTTGCAAAGTGCAAAACCTTTTTTTTTATTATTTTCCTGTTCAAAACCTTGCTGCGTCTTATACTCTGGTGCATCTTATACTCCGAAAAATATGATAATTGCTGAACATTTCTGTTGTGACAATAACAGCATAACAGAGTTGTAAGGGACCCTGGAGGCCTTCTTGTCCAACCCCCTGCTCAAGCAGGAGGCCCTATACCATTTCATACAAATGGCTGTCTAACCTCTTCTTAAAAACCTCTGGTGATAGAGCACCCACAATCTCTAAAGGCAAGCTATTCCACTGATTGTTTTCACTGTCAGAAAATTTTTCTCTGTTCTATGTTGGATCTCTCTTTGAAAAGTTTCCAATCATTACTTCTTGTTCAGCCCTCCAGTTCTTTAGAGAACAGGTCGACCCTCTTCTCTCTGCGGTAGCCCCATAAATATTAGAAGATTGTTATCAAGTAACATCAAAACAGAAAATTTCTGTTTTCCTTAATTTATTTCTAGTATTTCCAGAATATCACAACTAGTTCTAGTAAGAAAGATCTCTGTATAGATGATTTCCATTTTATAATCATTTCAAAGGCCAAAAATTGTGAGAATGTTCTACCTTGAGTACAGTGAATTAATTGATCAAAGAAAAATAATTAAAATGAAAATGTCATTTCAATCATATTATGGATAGAAAATTAATATGTCTATTGTTTCAATACAACTCTTCACATACTCTATTGTTGCAATACAATTCTTCACATACCATACAAAAGTCAATGTAGTTCTTTCTAAATTGAGAAGAAAAGAATTGCTCATAACTGGAACATAGAGAGAAAACTCAGTTAAATCAACTTGTGATCTGTTTTAGCATGATCCAGTAGCTATACAACACTAACAGTATGGAATCAATTCAGATGTTTTCTCCTAAAGGTGTGAATATTAATATTTCTAAGGTTTTTGACTAGATTTTATTATATGCATGCATCCAGAATGCACACAAAATGCAGACTACCGCTGTAGTGAAATTCACTCTCATAAATGTTCATTTTAATTTTTCTGAACATAAAGCATTATTATTACCAGGTATCTCGGATCTGAAACCAATTACTTACCAGAAGAAAATCGTATTTCTGAAATAGCATCTTTCCTGTGATGAAAAGAAACAAGATCCTCCAAAGTATCTGAATTTACCATTAAGAAACTGCCATCATTCAGACCTACTGCCAATGCTTTTCCATCAGGTGAAAAAGAGCAACATCTTCCCCCTGCCAAATACAAAAAGACATGCCGCTGATCCTAATCTTCAGCTCCACACCATCCTGAATGGTGATACTGCTTTGACTTCTTTCTGCCTCTGCTGTCATTCAATCCTCATCCTCTTTCCTTTTTCCAGCATCACCTCACTCCAAATCCCATTTTTTCGACTCTTGTGTAATAATTATATTCACCTAATCTTTCCCATCATCTGCCACACAGCTCTCCTCCATGCATCTCCAATAGCCCACTCTATTTTTTTCCATTCACCATCAAAATTTTTGCACTGTTCCATCTCCTTTTGCTGCAAGGCCTCCAATCTACTTTCTAATCTCTATCCCTCAAGAGTTCGGCAAACTCAGATCTCCTCTACCTTTCCCAGGGTACTATATTGATGCAGTTCCCCCTTGCAAAACACATCAAATCTTTCCTTGCTCCCTAGACCTAAGGATCAACATGTCATTCAGATGTCTTCTTGTCTAATTGTGACTCTGACACCTCACTGCCAAACCTGCTGTCCTACAGTGTCACTGTATGTAAGAAAAATTTTATTAATAAAAAAATAACAGCAGTTTTTTCTGGAATTTGACTACTTCATTTATTTTATTTTGTTTCCAAAACATATAAACATTCCTTCCATAAATCTAAACATTGCAATGGGAAAAATACCTAGAATTTGACCTCTTCATAAATGGGTTTTCATGCAACATTGAATGAAGCCCTCATTTAATGACTCCTTCATTTAGCAACCCCTTCATTCATTCAATTATGATGATGCAAAAGTAAACTTTGTGACAAGTCCTTCCATTCATGACTTTTTCATAAGGTAAGTATGATCTAAAATAAGATCTAAACTAAGATCATAAGCTCATTCACATTTTCACTTAATCATCATTTCACTTAATGACCAAGTTACTGGTCCCAAATGTGGTTGCTAGATGAGGACATCCCGTATCCCTCAAATCCCATCTTCATTCCTATACCCAATATTTCCAACCCACACAGATTCTAGGAGGACATAGTATATAGTAAAAGGAGTTAACATATTCCACAAGCAATTAGCGAGAAAATTTGTTTTGTAATTATCCTGGTAGCACTGTTAAAGGTAGTTCATTCATTCTAGCAATCTGATTCCATTTTTAAATTCAAATTCATTTTGTTTTTAATACTTAACAAATTGACATATGTCACTTAATTGGAAGCTTGGTAAAGTTCAAAGCCGTAGGTAAGACTGGAAAAGGAAATAAAAATAATCTTACCCTTCTTCAGTTTTCGAACAGCTAGCATGCAATGGCTTGGTGAAAGATCCCATATTCTTAAGGTTTTATCTTCACTTACAGTGGCACAAATAGGTAAATGAGGATGAGAAGCTAAACCCCAAACATCTCCTTCCATATGACCCTGTAAAAACAAATTTTACTCTGCAAGTTAACAGCTGATAATGATGCTGTAATATTGTGGAGCTCTGGAAAAGAGCATTGAACATCTTTGGAATATTTAATCGTGTTAAAAGGAAAACTAGTAAGATTCTTCCTTTTTCTTTCTTCTATTTCCCAAATGTTTTTAATCTTTTTTGGTTTTGGTAGAATGGCATTTGTCAAACAAGTATCTTTAATTTTATTTTCTAAGTATACCTCTGGGATATTTCTTAGAGTCAGTAATAATTGCAGTTGGAGCTTAGCTTTATAATACACCCATTCATTTTGAAATTAAGTTAACATTAAAAAAAAATCAGATGAAGGAAGTAATTTGGCATTTGTGATCAGGAACAATGAGCCCAAATACTATGTTTGGGGTACAAGATCTTAAGACATCACAAACACACTTTGTTCCCATCTTCAATATAGAGATTTTCTTTCTTTTACTAGCATAATGCATGAAAGGAAAGGAAAGACATGGTTGATCCTGTCAATGCAATTTTTCAATGTGACTTTTTAGTATAGCTGTTGTTATATGGATACAGACACCATTAGATTTTTCTTGTATTATTTGTCTATTTGGAAGTTCTTTGGGTGGGGTGTTTGTTTGGTCTTCTGTGTGCTACCCAGAGCCACAACTGGCAATGTGGGTGCATGTATAAATTGATTAAAAATAGCATTTAACTGGAGATGTAATAAGGATAACACTTATTTAAAAGACATGTTTTTACAATGTCTTGTATGTACCAAGTTTTAATAGAAAGTAGTGGATTATATAAATGTGATTCAACAAAAGCTAGAATTTTAAAAGATAATATTCTCTTACAGTACATGGAATTAGACAACTGGACAATGTAAATGAATTTTCCATGACCTTAATATTGCCAAAGACTGATATAGTAGAATTAAAAAGATAAATTTATGTCCATTTTCACTCAATGGATTGATTGCGATCTATGAGCGGATTGTCTATAAATGTAGATTTTACATGGATAGGTAAAATGAAATATGGGACTCATTTATATAGAACACAGTAGATTAAAAAATGTATCAGAAAAATATTCAACTTGAATAAAATTTGCATTAAACAACTACAGTATATATGGAATTATAACTGTTTATTGTTGTAATTACATATGGGAGTTTTGTTGTATTTTTTAATATTTTGTTACACCACTTTTTATGTGTTCTTTTTTTGTCTTTAACAATGTATGTATCGCTATCACTATTTTTTTTAAAAAAGTTATTTCTAATTCACTGCAATTTTATTTCACTATTTTAACATTCCAAAATGTACACTAAAATAAGAAATATTTTTAATGTTTACCTGAACTAGTAAAGTTATTGGCCCACTTTTATCGACTTCCAATATTTCACCATTCTTTGTTCCAACTAAAATATGACCATGTCCTAATGATATGGCACGGATAGAAGGATTATCTTCTAAAAGGAGACCTAAATGGATAAAAGAAAATAAAGAATTCTATTTGAACAATCACAATATAAATAAAACCAATTATTATTGAAACATCATATTATGTTTCCTAAAGTTTAACATAATTCTTGCTTGAAAAAAATACATTTTTTTCTTATTTATCTTTGATAATTCAATGCTTATTTACTCTGAATTGGTCTAGTTGAATACATTAGTCACATTTATGCAGACATGCGTAGCACAATTGCATAATTCTGTCTACCCCTTCAGATTTAACAAGAAGGGCAGGCTCTTGAGTCTCTTCCATTATCAGACAATGCCATCTTACCTTCAAGTCATGGCTTCTCTGTGGCTGTGCCTAACCTCAGCACCAGCATTCCACCAGAGAGCAGAATGATGAATGATGAATGCTGTTCTTATTATCCTTTTGTAAAGTTCTGAACTGATCTTCTTTATTTTAAACCACAACTCAAAACTTGTATGATTGTGTTGTAAGACCCAGGCACTTGGGTCAGGAAGTTAGGGAGTTTTGCTGGTGATGTGGCTTTTTGTTTGGGCTGGGGGGTTGTTACTGTTTTAACCAGGGTATCTGCTATGGTGGCTTTAATTTTGGTACTCTGTCCAAATCACTGCTGTGAGTTGGATGTGTCAATAAATAAATAGATACATAAATACATAGAGAAATCATGTTTAGTACCTACTGGAGAAAATGTCCAGTTAACTCTTGTTTATGAAAATATCCATCCTGAAATTGATAGTACTAATATACATATTTCAGAGCTCAATAAATTCAACAGTATGTTAAACAAATAACATATTATGTATTTTTGAGTCAATGACTAAAATACATATTTAATTTCGAAACTTTTCTCAAAATTGTGATTTGCAATTGGTGATCTATGGCCATGGGCCAGATGTGACCTGTCTCCCAAAATCATCTGGTCCATAGACCCCAAAAGAAACATATCTACCTAGCCCACAAAAGAGAGGGAGAGAGAGCAACCTTCTGTTTGGCTGCTTTTATGAGTGCTCGCCATCTCCTCAGGTAGCCCTTTTGCCAATGTGTTCACCAGTCACCTTGGCATGGGGGAGCAAGAATATCCCCATCTGGTAAAGCTGAGTGCAAGCTGAGGTGAAGGAGGGGGAAGAAATGGCAATGACAGAATAGCTTCTGACCCCTATGTGGAAGAAGTCTGCTGTAGAGGAATTCAGAGATAACTCTGAAGAAGGAATGCAAGAACTGTTACAAAAAAAATAAATGAAAATTTGGTCCTGATAATTTAGTGGGCATGAGAAAGAGAATCAAAATAAATTCATCTTGCTTCTCCTTAGTATAAGAGAGGACTGAGGGATACTCTAGCAGGCTATACTCTAGATAGCAATAGACTTCTGCTAATCTCTGAATTGTTTTATTCATTTTACTGCATGAAAGTAGATAAAGCACATTATGGGAATTACATGAAAAGCTCTCAACTACTCAAAAGTCCCGAGCACCTGTTGCTCTTTTATGCTTTCAAACTCTTCAGCTGAATCAGATCACAAAATGGATTATGATGAATCAATTCACAAAAAGATAATTATTTTAAAACAGTGGAAAATAAGTCTGTATTATAATGATCTAAGAAAATTTCAAATTACCTTTGGAGCCTGGGGCTAATGCAGCTCGTTTGATAGCATATGTTTTTAGACACCGTTCGAAGCTGTCATCCCAAAGAGCAACAATTCCGTCTTTTGCCCCAGTTACAAATCCCTAAAGAGAAAGATAATATAAAACATATTCCATATCTCTTGATTCTAAACCACATTGAGAAGTTATTTACATGTTATACTCATTCATATTTTATTCCATTGCCGCAACCCTGAGTAATATTTCTACAGCTATTTTAATCAATTTTACCCTCAATTTTATATATTTATGGCATCCATATTCTCAAATTTACGTTTCTGAAGCACAGATCGCAAAATTGTATTGTATTAAAATGTGGTTGTTTCATGCTATATTCACCCTGAATGATGGTGACAGTTTCACAGTGAGCATCATCCAAGCCAGGTGGCTTGTGACTTTTGTTGTGTTTTTGAATGCAAGGCTACATGTGCTTAAAATATTATTGTGCTTATAGTGAAAGCCCTTGAGTGCAAAGAAAAGTGCATCTAGTGATGGAGAAAAGACTAAAAGGGTCAAGAAAGTGATGCCTTTGAATGAGAAAGGGCAGGTTCTAAAAAGGTTTTCTTGTCCCCATCCCCCCCACCCCCCACACAGAGCAGAGAGATTGCTTAAATGAGGAGGGGAGGAAAAAGTGGGGGGGAATCTCTTTATGCAATTTCTCCTGTGATAGATTCATTTTCCACTCTTACCCCTCCCCACCATAGGGTGGAGATATTGGAGAAGAAGAGATTACAAAAGACTAAGAGTAAGCAAAAAGACAATGAAGACTGCCGTGGCTGCTTGTGTAGTGTAATGTGTGCACTGTTGCTAAGATGCATAACCATACTCTTGATATATACTTTTTGAGTTAAGAAGGAAAAAGATGAAAAATAGTGAGCTTGCCAAACCCTTTAGGCATATCTAATCTAACTTCTGGGCTTGAATATAATAAAATCAATTTATATTCAATAGTAAGTTACTCACTTTTTCTAATGCATGCATACTGAACAATGGGCCATCATGTGCTTTCACTGTTTTGACGAGGAAAATATCTCTCCATATATACACGTCTCCTGTTGCAGTTCCAGAGAATGCCATTTCTTCTGTCCAGCCATAAACTGCACACATCATTGTATCAATTTTTCCCACTGGACCCACATAACCTTTTTTTCCAATTAGTCCACCTCCTTAAATAAACAAATTTTTTTTTATTATATTAGACCTTGAACATGTGTTTCTAAATGAACACAGAAAGTTTTTAAAGGTAAAACACAATGACTTTCATTTTTTCTTTCACACACACACACACACACACACACACACACACACACAAGTATATAAATATCATCAAAGAGTCATCTGTTATCCTCACAGTTTCTCAAAAGCAAATTATGTTAAAAAACTAAAGTAACAACTTACTATTGGGTTTAGCTTCATTTACTTCAATGAAGCGGTGGACGTGATGAACCGGGGTCTTGAGGCCGTTAAGAACTGGATGAGAGCTAACAAACTGGTACTCAACCCAGACAAGACCGAGTGGCTGTTGTGTTTTCCTCCCAATAATTTGGCCAGTGTTCCATCGCTCAGTCTGGGGGGTCAAATTTTACACCCCTCAGATAGGGTTCGCAACTTGGGAGTCCTCCTGGACCCACAGCTGACTTTCAACCATCATTTGTCGGCTGTGACCAGGGGGGCATTTGCCCAGGTTCGCCTGGTGCGCCAGTTGCGACCCTACCTGAACCGGGAGACCCTCACAACAGTCACTCGAGCCCTCGTGATCTCTAGGCTGGAATACTGCAATGTGCTCTACATGGGGCTGCCCTTGAAGAGCATCCGGCGACTTCAGCTAGTCCAGAATGCGGCTGCGCGAGTGATTGTGGGCGCACCGCGGTTCGCCCACATAACACCTATCCTCCGCGAGCTGCACTGGCTACCTGTTGATCTCCGGGTGCGCTTCAAGGTGCTACTTACCATCCATAAATCTCTCCATGGTAGTGGATCTGAGTACTTGAGAGACCGCCTCCTGCCGATTACCTCCCTTCGACCGATTAGATCGCACAGATTAGGCCTCCTCCGAGTTCCATCCGCCAGTCAGTGCCGACTGGCGACTACGCGGAGGAGAGCCTTCTCAGTAGCAGCTCCGACCCTTTGGAACGACCTCCCCGTGGAGATTCGCACCCTCACCACCGTCCAGACCTTCCGCACAGCCCTTAGGATCTGGCTATCCTGTCAGGCCTGGGGATAAGGTTCTGATTCGCCCCACCCGAATGTTGAATGAAAGTTGCGTTTTATTGTTTTATTTCTATTTATGCAAATATGTCTTATGTTTTTTGTGTTGCACCCCCCTTCCCATGTATTGTAAGCCGCCCTGAGTCCCCTCAGGGAAAAGGGCGGCCTATAAATCATAAATAAAATCCTTAAAAAAATCCTAAAATCCTACTTTCATATCCCAGTAAACTACAGTATCATATAAAAGGGAAAAATAAAATATGATTGAAGTAACTTGATAATTACTCAAAGTAATTTTAAAAATATTGCCTTACCTGCTCTTCGCCAGAATTTTATGTGTTTAATTCCAGCTGTAATTAGTTTATCGGGCATAAAGGGGTTAATTTTAACAACAAAGATCTTGTCTTTACTCCCCCTAAAAGAAATTTAAAAATGTTTTCACTTTCATGTGTGAAAATATTTTCTCCATACAATAAAGCTTTGACAAAAACAACTTCAACAATTACTTATATTGAAATAGCAATATAAACATTCCAAATTTTGTTTTAAAATTAGTAGATGAATTGTCTATTTATCTTTCAAACTTAGAATTGGACATTCTCCATTTTACAAGTAGACCTAATGTATAGTATATGTAAGGCCTGTAAAGCAGATTGGATATGGTTTGTACAATTCATCCACATTCATAATAAGAAATTTGACAGTCCATTGCACATTAGGTATCAATACAAACAAGACTACAAATGTCCTGCTTCTTACTATGATTTCAATATAATCATAACACATTATTAGAGTAAAACAACTGGGTGACCTTTTTACCTTACTGCTGAAAGCTTATCTCCTTTTCTCCAATCCCAAAGAATAACAGTGTGATTGTCATCTATTCCAACTGAAGCTAAACGTTTTCCATCAGCTGTAAAACAAAGTATAAAGCATTGTTTTATAAACAGCAAAATTTACAAATTATGGCAATAAATATGGGGGGCATTTTGAATATCTAAACTCTCATTGTCACATATTTGTATATCAGCAGTAACTGTCCTCATTGCTATTTGATTCTAAATATGCACTTTTATATTTTTTCAATCATTCTCCATCATTTCAAGGCCTAAAAGGTCATGTCATTTGCATATGGGCTGCTTGATTTTCCAGATTTTCCAGTACCTCTGTATACTTTCAGTAACTTAATAATAATCATAGTCTGCTATTAAAATGCATATACTGTATTTCTCAGGCAAATCTAGCTTATTTACCTAATTTCCTGAACCGCTTAGACATTCCAATAGTACTATGTGTCAAGGATGGCTAATATAATTGCAATGTACAAAAATGCAACTTAAACTCAATAAAAATAGATAAATATTGAGTAGCAAAAACAAAAATCACATTTCAAAACATTATAATGCCATATATTTTTGTGCTGCACCTAACAAATGAATATTTAATGACACTTATATCTCTTCATATACGTAAACATTTTGAAGAATGCCTCCCATAATAACTGATGAAATTTAAAGGCTGGCACTTCTGTTGCCAACATTTGAAAGCGAGATCTGTGACGCTTACTTTAAAAATCATTAGTTTATTAATCTAATGTTTCTCTAATTCAATCACATGCTTGTTTTTAAAAGATATACTTTTTCAAACTAATTAATTTTTTTTAAAAAAAAATTCAATAATGGTGAAATATATGACAGAAATTATGCTTTTGTTATATTTCAATGTTTTTTCATTGGCATTGGATCATTCATCAACTATTATGGTCATTAACTTATTTTCAACATTTAACCAATTTAAGACCAATGCTATTATATACATCTGCCTCAATTAGTTATCTCCACTTAATGATTGAAGATTCTGCTCCTTTGGCCATCAAACACCCACATTTTAGGAAGAGATGGGCCTCATAAGAATAGGCAGTGAGTTAATTTCATTATATGGTTGCTGAACAGAATCCAATACCAATGTCCAGAGAGATATAAAAGACAACATTCTAATAATATCTCTCCTTCACACACCAAAAAATACACATCTGCCCTTACTATTAACAAAATAAATCATATTTATGCAGTCTACACTTTCACAAAAATGGGATAACCATACATACCTGAAAAATCAACAGCACAAACACCAAACTGGTGATAGCCCTTTAATACCGACAGTGGTTTGATTGTTTCTGTATCCCAAACATGGGTTGAGCAATCCCGGCCAACCTTATATAAGAGATTGAACACATAAACTTACTATACTAAATTTACTAGTTTTTTTAAATTATACCCAATTCCTAACCATGTCAGCCATTCGTATTTTACTCCTATTTCTATGTCCTTCAGAAAACTTGCAAAACCTGGCTGCTCAAGAAGGCCTTTTAAGTCTGGTTAATATAGATCCATAACTCTGACATTAATTCTTGCATTCTATATGCTTATGATTATTATTTTTATTTATAATGTGGTTTAATTTGTCAATACCTCTACATTCTCTAGAGCACGGGTATCAAACTCGCAGTGTCATGTTGCCGTCACATGATGTTTTGTGACGTTTTTCCCCTTCATAGAGCTGGGGTAGGCATGACCTATGTGTGACGCATCCGGCCTGTGGGCCGCCAGTTTGACACCCCTGCTCTAAAGTCTATTTTGGAATAAGGCAATAGATAAATTGTGCAAATAAGTAAGTACTGTAAATGTGAGCTTAGCAAACACAGCACTGTTTTTCCTGGGATGATTCTGTCTGTCATTATAAATTATTGTTGTACAATTTTGAAAATAAACTTTGTAAGGTACATTATGTTACTTAAAACAATCACTAGATTAACAATTTTGAACAATTGTTTAGAAAACAGAAATTATTCCATTTGATCAGAGGCATCCAAGACAAGATAATATTACAATTATGACACTTTCTATACATAATAATGCAAATGGCATTGTTATATAAGAACATCTTGACATATGCTACCGCTATATAAACATCATAATTTACATAAGGATCTACATGTCCTGTAGATGTCATCTTTTACATGCTTTGATCCAACCACTGTCATCTATGCAATGGATTCAACCCACTGGTTCTAATCAAGCATGGGTCCAGCCATGTATTTTATGAAGTTCTGTGTATCCAGCTGCTTCAGTATTTTTCAATGTAAAGCATGCAGTGGAAAAGCTCTCACACATACACTGAACATTTCCCTTTGCAGGAAAAATATGCTTCTGATTTCCAGACACTCCTATTCTTATACAGCCTAAGAATCATCCAAGAGAGTCATGTTATTATTTTTTCTCATATAGCATAACAAGCGCAAGCACATTTTCTACAGCAGAAGAATATTGACAGGAATATTAAATACCCTTTATAGATTGACTGGACTGAAATAACAATTCTAGATCTCTAGTTCTTCCATACATCCTACCTGGCCTGTGGCGACATAGTCCTTTAGAGGATGAATAGCAAGGCATAGGATATCATCATCATGACCCAAATAAAAGCGCTGTGTGTTTTGCTGCCGATTGTATACTATGCCCACTGCTGCAACGTGGTACACAATTTCCCCAGTCTGAGTGTAAAATAAATTACTCCGACAGTCATAGCCTCTGTAACTAATAAAACAACATGAAATTAAAGTATCTTAATGCAATAAATATATACATGGATCGTGCTATTCCTCTTCAACATAAGCCACATTGTATTTAAATGCAGGAAAAAATAATCAAAAGCAGAAAAAAGAAGAAAAGGATATCTAACTAAACTTAGTTTGTGCCAATATTATTCACCATAACTCTATTCCTATTTTTGCTTTCACTAGTTTCATACCTAGTCTTTTGCTCTCTAAGCTTCTCCTCTCTCTCTTTTTGAAGGTTTCATCAACTTCATCCAAACCAGGGGTGGGCTGCTGGGGGGTTCACAGGGGTTCAGGAGAATCTCTAGCTAAGATTCTGTGCAGTTCGGAGAACCCCCAAATCCCACTCCTGGCTGGCCCTGCCCACCCCTCCCCTCCCCGGAGTCCCCATGTGGTCCATTTTGGATGCAGGTAAGTACAGGGTGCGTGCGGAGGCTTGGGGAGGGTGAAAAACAGGTCTACTGGAAGTTCAGGAAGGCCGGAAATGGGCCCTTTTTGGCCTCCAGAGCCCAGGGAGGCCATTTTTGCCCTCCCGGAGGCTTGAGGAAAGCCTCCACAACCCGGGTAGGACAAAAATACCTCCCCTGCCATGGTGCAAGAGGTCAACTAGGCCATGCGCACCATGGCCATGCCCACCCAGCAACCAGGCAGAGAACCCCTTGCTAAAATTTTTGAAGTCCATCCTTGATCTAAACACAGCTTTCCCAGTTTTCCTCTTCCCCTCAAACTGTTCTTTCTTTTTTCATAACACTCCATTTTTTGGGATGCAGTCCATAATGATTTATCTTTCATTTATGTACCATTCATTCTTAACCATATTTCTTTCTGTTTTATTACAAATTTCTCCTGGCTTATCCCATTCACCATGTAATAAAGTGGGTGAAAGCACACTCCTATATACAAAAAGCTAAAGATTTCTGTATCAATCTGGTGCTGTTTTTTCGGAGCATTGTTCAAAGACCATTTCTGTGGTATGTAGCCTGCCAAAGGAGCATGGAATGCTGTTATCTCCCCCCCCCCCCAAGTGGTGCCTATTAATCTACTCAGATTTACATGCTTTCAAACTGCTAGATATGCAGGAGCTAAAGCAAGTAAAGGAAGTTCACTCATGGTGCAGAGCTCAGGTAGGGCTGTCAGCTTTCCAGCTGACAAGCTCAGCATCATTAACTGCTGAGTCATTGCGCCCCTCCTCCTACATATCAAATTGGGTATGTCTCATAGAATGACAAATCAAACTAAGATATCAGTAATTTCCCTTTGAACTGTTTGTCCTGATTAAAAAGGTTATCTAAGTTCCTGCTTTCAACTTAGACCTACTTTCTATCACCTATTAGGGCAACACTCACTATCTTGACCTGTTTTAAACAATAACTCATAAATTTAAAACAGAAAAACTATCGTCTTGTAGAAGAAACATGCAAACACAGTACATCTTGATAAATACATAATATGTATTATTTCCTTTTAGGAAAGAAAAGAAAGAAAAAATAGAAAAGGGAAAAGAAAAGGAAAAAGAAAAGATTTACACACCCGTGAACAAAATGCAATCTTATACTATTGATGGGAGCCCTCTCTCTTCTTTTTGAGGCTGCAGTTTTTCGTTTTTCTTTGCATTGCTCTTTAAGCTGAGGTAGATCTTCTTTGTAAACCTTAGAATACAAAGATTTTCTGTCATTGTGCATATTTGAAGAAGCAATCACACTAAGGAGTAGAAGTTTTCTATATGAACATCATATATTGGACATAGTTGCAACATGGTTAAAGCTATTTCAATTAAATAAATTATTAGAATAAAATTTATAAGTAATTACCGTGAAAGGTGAATAGGCAAATGCTTTGCAAACCCCAGTAATGAAAGTCAATAGCATAAAAAAACCCTGAGGTTAAGGTTAAATATAATAGGAGGTAAAACCACAACTATCTGCTCAAGAATTGAAAATGAAGATATTGACTTAGTGGAAAGTCAATAAGTTCCATCTTAGGCATGAAAACCAACTGGGTGACTTTGGGGCAATCACCCTATCATGCCAACCCATCTCATAAGGTTATGGGAAAAATAGGAAGAAGGAACATTATACATGTCCATGGCCTGAGTTATTATTTATAAAAATAATAAAGTTTGAATAAAAAATAAAGAAATGTTAATATTAGACATTTGGGGCAAGAGCTGAAATTACTTTTAAAAGTCAATAAATGGGATAAGTTTATAGAATGACCTAGCTGTATGTAAAGATTCCCCTCGCATATATGCGCTAGTTGTTCCCGACTCTAGGGGATGGTGCTCATCTCTGTTCAAAGCCCAAGAGCCAGCACTGTCCAATGATGTCTCCGTGGTCATGTGGCCAGTGTGACTAAATGCCAAAGGCGCGCGTAACACTGTTAGTGTTGGTTCCTATTTTTTCTACTTGCATTTTTACGTGCTAGATTGCAGAAGCTGGGACAAGTAACGGGAGCTCACTCTGTTACACAGCACTAGGGATACGAACCACCAAACTGCAGACCTTTCTGATCGACAAGCTCAACGTCTTAGCCGCTGTATGTAGCAAATGCATTTCTCCATTTTTTAAAATTCCATTTGTGACGATAGCAAAAAGTTTATCCAGTGATACAGTACTTCAGGGGGCATAATTTCAGGGATCTATATTTAATTGTCTTGAATTTGGAAGAAGCTCCATAGGCACTCAATGTGACACGGCTAGGACTTTTATTGCATACTAGAACAAAACCATTTAAAGCAGTTGATTAAACTACGCCAACATGATAATGCTATTCCTTCTTATACCTTCTATAGTTTACATTGGGCACTTTTTCCTTTTTCATTTGAAGAATCTTGCTTGGTATGTCTCATGCTTGGTGGCATTTGGTTATTAACATATGGCAGATAGTAAGAAAGTCTAGTGTCCAACATCTCTAAAATCAACTTATTTTCCATATTCCATCCCCTCCCTCCTCAGACTATACAGAATCAACAGGCAGACAATTGATTGGCAGAGAAGTAACTCAAGCTTAATTGTGGTATTAATATTTTAGACCCATCCAGGATTATTAGGACAAGCAGAATCAATCTAGGGTGTTTCTAGCTCATTCCTTAATGTATAGGATAATACCTGTCGTCGATAAGTGATCTGAGTCTCTTGCTCAATTTCAGAGTCCAGCTCTGGAACATCAGATTGATCAGAATCTGATTCTTCACTATTGGAGTCAATCATGCTTTCTATAATACAAATAAAATGTAGAGAAAATACTGAAATAGTAAAAGCAAATTCAAGTCAAGAACTATACATATTCTCACAGAAGCAAATTCTATGGAGGGCCTTCAAGTTATGAACATAATGTTCCCATATGAGAAAAAAGGGTAATATAACAGAAACCTGAAAGGATGGGAACAAGCAGTTACAGTACATGGCTATAACTATTAACTCAAAAAGACAGAAGACGATAGACAGTATTCCGGGATACTGTACTGTTCCCCAGGGTGGAGAATTTCTCACAGGATTTCTTCAAAGGATAACATACATACCCCCTCTTATTATTCTGTAGTAAATTTATGTCTATTTGTAAACATGCAGGAGGGAGGAAGTTTAAATGTTATAAATAATACATAACCCTCAGATCTAAATTTCACTTTTACTACCACTCTCATTATAGAAGGAGCGCTCACCCTTGACGATTATCAATATCTATACATACTCGGCAACACTATTGATCATGGTTAAGTCACCAAATTTTTCCAACAGTATCAGAAGTAAGTTGCAACCCAGCTGGAATAATTGCAAAAGCCCCTAAGATACAACAGCAAATGGAACCAGAATTCCTATCACTAAATGGTGAGATTGCAAAATTCAACATGGTTGAATTGCTTAATGATGGCAATCCTGGCACTTCTTCTTATTGTAGTTAAACAAATCCATTTGATCAATAGATTCCCATTAGATTATTACTTTTTCTCATTTTAGACTATTAATATGATTGCAATTTCTTGTACTGAATAGATTAAAATGGACTGCTCCTGTGTTTTATAACAAAGGCCAATTAAAGTGTCTTTCAAAGGATAATGTTTAAATTCATTTTAAGTGTCACTACATAGCCAAGGTTAAAGATAGAAAACAAGAACCAAAACAGGAATAAGAATCATCTAATCTGGTGGGAAATCAAAAGAAAGAGCAAATTACAGTCCAGAACACTTGCAGATGATTCTAAGATTTTAATAAATCTTGATCAAATCCAATTCACTGGACTTAAAAACCAGAAGTCTATATATACATACGAGATACATTTTCAATCATTGTTCCATACTATTCTGGAATATTTTAGAACTAGACTCATTTTTGTAATCTGTTCCTGGCATTTAATATGACTTTTAAAATATTTTGTTATTAGCCAACTATAGAAGAGGGAGAAAATATGTCTAGATAAATAAATACCAATGTTACACAAATAGGGAAAATAGCAAAGAACAAAACGTAGGGGGAAAACCTCTAAAAAATATGAATAATAGCTGAAATATTTCCCATCTAAAGAGAAATTCATGTCAAAATCATTACTAGCAATATTATATATTATTGTTGAAATCATATTAATTTGTATATATTCACTCACCTTGCGGGGCTATGTGAAGAGCATCTTTCAACTTTCTTTCAGGAATAAATTTCCACTGGAAAACAGAGTGGTCTGCTCCACCAATAGAAATAACCCATTGATAATCATGTGACCACCTGACATTTGTCACGTGTGCTGAATGACCAAAGTATTTCTTAAACTTTGCCCCTAATAAAAAACATAGGTTCATTACATTTTGAAGTATAGTACACACATCTAATGCAGTGTTTCTCAAATGGGGTTCTTAACAGACTAGGTCTTCATGGTCTTACAAAAGACCAACAGGATCAGGTTCTTCCTGATTTCTGAAGGGAGATTGTAATATATTTTTAAATTGTGATCTGCCCAGGGTAATTTGCTGAGATGGGCAGCTATAGCAATCAATCAAACAAACAAACAAACAAACAAACAAACAAACAAATAATGTTCCAGAAGTCAGGTCTATGCTGAGAAGACATATCTCCTAGTACCCAACAGCCAACATTTTTGGATTGATGGGATTGTAACATGTCCACCTGCTTGATTGAATGAGATGGGTAGAAACAACTGGGAAAAGATATTGTCTCAGGTAATCTCATGCCAAGCTATGAAGAGCTTTAAAGGCAATAACCAGCACCATGAATTGCACCTGGAAATACACTGGCAACCAATGCAGCTCACACAGTAGTGATTCTAATGTGTTGAATATCCAACATGTTGAAGCTTGTGAATACTTTTCAAGGGCATCTCCATGTACAGTGCATTGCAATAATCCAGTTATTTAAGACCACAAAACACAGTTACAGCAGTTTTCACTTAGCAATCACAATTGAGACTAGCAAATGAAACTCTGGCCACTCTGAAAGCTCATCACTGTGTGACAAGAATTGCTAGTCTCTGCATCAAGGTCGTATTTTTCTCTCTTCATAAAGTTTTATTAATGCTACATGACCTATAACAGAATTACTACTTTTGAATTGGCTTTTAGTGTATTGACTATTTGGATAAAAAAAAATTCAAAAAATTTGGAAAAAATTGAATAAAAAATCTTAACAATCAGTCTCTTTTTCTTTCTTCCATTTTAAGCATGTATAGTCTTAATATGGTCCACTGGAGTTGGGGTGGGGGGCAATTAAATGAATAAATACTGAAAATAATATAGAATTCCAAGAAATACTGAAGTCTAAAAATGATACAACCTATTATCAAAGAGATTTGCATATGTCCAATCCATATGTGGCTAGTTTAACAATTAAATTCCTTAGTAAATGAATCACAAAGGTTACATTCGGTTGATTGAGTCTGTGCTGCATCTAACCTTCTCTGAGCCTTACAAGGGCCTTATAAGGGCCTTATATTTTAAGCTCCAATTGGATCCAATGTTTTGGAGTATCACCCTGATCTAACATGTTGTGAAACCTGTATCTTTTATGTATGTGTGTGTTTCAGCTGACACAAGTGACAATGCCTTATCTGCCTCCTTCCCACCAGCACATATTTCTTTTAATTAGAACTGATCTCTTGAAAAGACATTACTTTGGTTTACTACCTTATAAAACTTATTTCCATTAAAAGTACTTTACAAAAAATGTTACCTTTTCTTATACATGGATACCGAAAGAGTTTTACTGTTCCATAATCATCAGCTGTAACAAGAACCTGACCAACGAAATTTGCATCAACAGAATTGATATCATTGATCTCTGAATATTTAGGCCATATTCCATTAACTTCAAGGCCTGAAACTGAAGTCCATGAAGCCCACTGGATGCCCTTTAATTCTTCTTTGTTCATCACTTCTTTTCCACCTAGACAGAAAAAGATACCTACTTAATGATGTTCGTCAATTATAAAAAAAATTAATTACTTTAAGTAAATTCTGAATTTTAGAATTGTTGTATTTCCCATGAAGAATCTTAATGAAGTTTTAGGTAAGCTCCCCGTTGAGAGAGCGAGTACATTCAGAGAAGCACACAAACCAGCATATAGAGACACTGCAGTTTAAATAGGCTTTTACTTTCGTGGAAAATAGAGGTATCAGAATCCATCAAAGAGTCCAAGTCATACACGGATAAGACAGTCAGTCATCAATATGTCTTTCAGTTAAGGGATAATCCAAATAACATAGTCCAGTAACATATAATCAATTCAGTACTCAAAGTTTGCTAGCATCTGCAAAACTTACAATAGCACAAGGCACTTTCTAACAGCCACCTTCCAAAACACTCAGATCAAATCAGCCCAGCATATAACGAACAGAGAGCTAACAGTCATTCTGGCTCCCTCTTATGGCCAATTGAGGAAAACAGCAACCAATCACATTTTACAGTATGATTTAAAGAAACAGGTACA